TCAAATCATCATAAAGATGTTAAGAGCTGTTCTTAAATAAAACACAAAAGGAGGAAGCCAGGATATTATTCATTTTTGACTTCTTCCAGCAACTAGCATGTCCAAATATGTCTTATACTCCATAAGAAATTAACATGTGAATGTTGGAAACTTGGCAACATTGTGCTGAATGCTGAGAACTGACAAGACATCGCCTACAATTCGTGTGCCTTGTTGTTACGTTAACCAGTTCGAACATATGAAGGAAAATTTTGAATAAATTGATTTTCGATTGCTAATTAGGAATATTACCAAATACCAACACATGATTGAGAATTTATGAATCATTGAATAAGTAATATTTCTGAAATTCCCAATCGAATTTCAACATATGGCAACTGTGCTTTGGTCTGCTTCTAGTTACGGAATCGTGACGTCAGTCTTTACTCGCGGTAATTTTCTAGACGTTTGAAAATTACCGTGGCAAAATCGACCAAAAAATTATAAAAGAATATGGAATTGAAAGTTATTTGAGTGATGATTCTATTTAAGTAATTTCAGAAACAATTCGAATACCCGGCCTGCTCAGATACGAATCACCCTGTATTTGTTTGGCATGAACGAAAGAATGCGTGTTCAACAATTGAACCTGACCGAACGAAGAAATTTTTCGAAATATTCTCGGATTATGCTGAGACGATCGATTTTAGCCGCATTTTCAAAATTCACACAGATTTATAAACAAAACAAGCATCAAAATCTACGAATAAAAATAATTCTTCAGTTCTCAGATAGAAATCACTACCCTGTATTTGTTTGGCATGTACGGAAGAATGCTCGTTCAAAAATTGAACCTGACCTAACGAAGACATTTTTCGAAATATTTTCGGATTATGCTGAGACGATCGATTTTAGCCGCATTTTCAAAATTCACACAGATTTATAAACAAAACAAGCATCAAAAGCTTCGAATAATAATAATTTTTCAGTTCTCAGATAGGAATCACCCTGTATTTGTTTGGCATGTACGGAAGAATGCTCGTTCAAAAATTGAACCTGACCTAACGAAGACATTTTTCGAAATATTTTCGGATTATGCTGAGACGATCGATTTTAGCCGCATTTTCGAAATTCACACAGATTTATAAACAAAACAAGCATCAAAAGCTACGAATAATAATAATTGTTCAGTTCTCAGATAGGAATCACCCTGTATTTGTTTGGCATGTACGAAAGAATGCTCGTTCAAAAATTGAACCTGACCTAATGAAGAAATTTTTCGAAATATTTTCGGATTATGCTGAGACGATCGATTTTAGCCGCATTTTCAAAATTCACACTGATTCATAAATGTATACAAAACAAGCATCAAAAGCTACGAATAATAATAATTCTTCAGTTCTCAAAGAAATATCATTTTCATCGAAAGGCTTTTTGGTGTTCATTTCTTGTTTGAATTTTTTGAAAGAGCGGGAGCTAGAGGGGGACGTAAAAAATTGAGCAACACCTATTAGCTAGTTATCCAGTACCTATAGCTTGAAATTATACAGGACATTGTTGAACTTGGACAAAAAATGTACCTAACTAGATAGTTAGTCTTTTGAAAAATCCATGTTTTGAATATGCATTTGTTCTCGAACACTTCATGGATGATTTTAGGATAAAAAATTTTTGGGAGATTATGTAATTCCAAGTCAACAATAATAAATAGCTTCTGAAATTTGACTTTATACAGGGTGTCCCGAAAGTAGCCTGCCAAACTTCACCAGCGACTTCTACGACCGAAAATAGGAAAAAAAAATTCAATAAAAAGATGCTATTTGGTACAAGAACTGAAATTTCCATGTCCAATACAGTAAAAATAAAATCATTTCAAAATTTCACTCGGAAGTGTATAATACAGGGTGGGACTAAATTAATTATTGCTCAAAAATTTTTGTATGCATATTTTTCGACAATTTAATCTCGGATTATAAAAAAAATCCACAACTCTTTACAGAAAAAAAGGTACTCCTGTTCCGTAACGATCAGATGTATCATTATCGAGTAAAGACGATGTAAAAATATTGTTACATCTAGAATAGAATAGAATAGAATAGATGTTTATTTAGCTCATTAGCTATTACATAACATATAATTTACAATAAATACTATTTTAAGAACATACAATGTTATTGATTATTGAAGTACATTTGCCTTAATCTAGTTCTGAATAATTTGACATTTGGTGATGTTTTTACTATTATTGGTAAGCCATTATACACCTTCAAACCATCGATAAATAGTGTTTTCTCCATAGCACTAGTCTTGAACTTTTGTATTTGGTAATGATCCGAAGATCTCAGATTATATTCTACCAACTCAGATCTTTTAACAAGATAATCTCTTAAATATACATAAATATATAATAAATATATAAGATATATTATGCATAACATTGCAATGAGTCGTAGTGGAAATAAAAAAAAAATTCACAAAAATTAAAGTAGTTTTTATATCATCACTTTCCTATTTTCCGCGCTTTTATGAGATTGTTTGGAGAAAAGAAAGTAGTTGATCTTTTCATAGCCACTATGATTCGAAAATTGACAACGTTATGCATAAGATGTGAATGTATTAATATTTTTAAATCGATTTCACTCGAAAATGGTACATCTGATCGATGCGGGACAAGAGCACTTTTTTTCTGTAAAACGGTGTGGATTTTCATAATCCGAGATTGAATTGTCAAAAAATATGCATACGAGATAGTTTGAGCAATATTTAATGTAGTCCCACCCTGTATTATACACTCCTGAATGAAACTTTGAAATGATTTTATGTTCCCCGCATTGGGCATGGAATGTTTAGTTCTTGTAACAAATTGCATCATTTTATCCCTTGGCTTTCGGAAATATTCAAGAACTATCATCTTCAGTAGCCCCTTTTTAGGGGGCCATAGCTACCCTAGGAGACATTTCTCGACTTTCTCTCCCTATTTCTGGTCGTAGAAGACGCTAGTGAAGTTTGGCCGGCTAATTTTGGGAAACCCTGTATATATGTACAGGGTGGGCCACCAGTAACGCCTCGGTCTCTAGAAGGCTAACCACTTATCTTCTTGGAATTCTTCCTCTCTAGGAAGTTGCATGTCAATATAGGCTACCATTTAAAATTATTTCGAAACATACAGGGTGTCCCCAAAAACCATAAAACACTGAAGTTAAACTTTTTTCTATCGAACACCCTATATATTATTTCATTTTGAGATTCTCCCTGATGAGCTGATGTCAACGACACATCATACTTGGGGGCTAGCAGTTATAATTACTGAAATATAGGGTGTGAAAAATCGAGATTTTCCAAGTTCAAGAATTTTTTGTGTCGAAACTATTCATAATTGGTCAAAACGGCTTACATGTCCCTATCTCTACTTTTGATTAACTATCTACTGATATATAATTGGGAAATATACCGGGTGATCAAGATTCTGAATTCTGCACCACCCTGTATTTGTTTCAGTTAAATGTCAGTAGATAGTTGATCAAAAGTTGAGATAGGGACATGTGAGCCGTTTTGACCAACTATGAATGGTTTAGACACAAAAAATTCTTGAACTCGGAAAATCTCGATTTCTCACACCCTATATCTCAGTAATTATAACTGCTAGACCCCAAGTATGATGGATTGTTGAAATCAGCTCACCAGGGAGAATCTCAAAATGAAATAATTTATAGGGTGTTCGATTGAAAAAAGTTCAACTTCAGTGTTTTGTGATTTTTGGGGACATCCTGTATGTTTCAAAATAATTTCAAATTGTAGCCTATGTTGACATGCAACTTCCAAGAGAAGAAGAATTCCAAGAAGATAAGTGGTTAGCCTTCTAGAGACCGAGGCGTTACTGGTGGCCCACCCTGTATATGAAGAAAATTATGAGTGATTCCAGGTAGCATTGAATAATCATAGAATATTCCAAAAGTGAGAATATTCCTCACAAATTTTAGATACCAAATCCAGGAGTATCAGTTTTCATCTTTAAGAACAATTATTATAGGTGTATATAATAATAAGCTTATTCCAATAATAAAATAATCTTCAGAAAATGGAATAATCCTCTGAAATATCTCTCAGAATATCATAGAATTATTCGAATCATAATCACAAAAATGAATTCCTTCCGGATATTCCTTCAATCGCCTAAGAACATGAAAAAAATAGTCCTCAAGAATCCGGAACTTATATTATCATTGATTATTAAAATTTGATATATCTTAGGATAATTCCCTACTTTTTGCCGATACAAGAAGATCAAATGGTTATTCTAGGAAAAATTTAGATTGTTCATTGGTTATTCCCCAATCAGCCAAAGTACGTCTTAAAGGCGTCTTTAAGACGTACATGTCGGGACATAAGTACGTCTTGAAGACGTACATATTACGCCCAAGAGACGTCTTTGAGACGTCTTTAAAACGTACATTTTCCACTAATATGTACGTCTTTAAGACGTCTTTTTTAGGTGTTTTTGGTCCACGACCTCAAATTGATCTTTCAAATTACGGAAAAATCACATAGTTTCTATCACATAACAAGCTTTTACTTAGTTTAACATGTCCTTGTGTCTGTTTGTAATCAAAACGTGCAAGTTAAATTTGACTCACTTTAAATCGTGCGATTGATTTGAAATTTGGCAAGTAAATATTATTCCGATGACGATTCGTTGTGATATTATTATTGAATGAAAAAAACAGAATGGCGGATCCAATATGGCGGACGATTTTCTCATTGATTATGTTCCGATTCGAATCAAAATTCAATATTCAAGATGGTGAATCCAATGTGGCATATGGTTTTCTGATTATGGTCTGATCTGATTCAAAATTGGCATCTGAAGGATTTCGGGATCAGAGATTATAATTCCTTGTGTCGAAAATGAAAAATCCAAGATGTCGGCTTCAAAATGGCGGACGAGTTTTGTGATTATAGTCCGATTTTATTCAAAATTGATTACTATGGGACTTTTGGGGTCGGAGAATATGATTTTTTTGGTAAAAATTCGAGAATCTAACACGAAGGCTCCAAAATGTCGGACGAAAAAATTCAAAAACATCACTTTTGTTGAAAATAAGAAAAAACTGAACAATTGAAAATAAAAAACGTGAAGAGATGACATTTTGTTTTTCTTCAGAAAATAACTTACATTATTGTTCTATAAGTCGAATTGACGTACTGGTATGTACGTCTTTGAGACGTATTTTATACGACATGGGAGGAACGACGTGGATACGACCTAAAATGTACGTCTTAAAGACGTAAATTCGTGTACGCCTTCAAGATGTACATGGATTTACATCTTAAAGACGTACTTTATACGTCCCTGGACGTAAAGACGTAAGTAAGTCTTAAAATGTACGTCTTTAAGATGTCTGGGAGATATAAAAAACATTCTATGAGTATTTTTGTGCTATCTGGGATAATATTAATGCCTCTGGAATGTGAATTAACGAGGAGAAAATCTCTGATGAATTTTATCTATCAACCGTATGTAGTAGCTCATATGTGGGCAACTCAAGAACACCTCGATGTTTTTAGCTGTATCAACACTCTTTCACTCTTTCAAATTAACTAAGCTATAAACCGAAATTAGAACAAATTTCGAGTTATGAATAATTGCATGTATCACAAATTTCGAATGATAATTCAAAATTTATAAGCACAAATTACGAATTCCGAGTGATAACTAGAAATTAGTACTGAACTGTAATAATTAGTACTGAATTCGAATGATAACTTGAATTTAGCATCGAATTATGGGTTTGAATTTGCACTAATCCCAATTTCCAAGGCAAAACTTGGACGAATCTGAAATTAGCACTGATTCCGATTTACAAGTTGAAATCAGCACTACGATTTCGCGTTAACAATCGAAATCATCATCTCCAGCACAAAATACATCGAGCCGTTCTAGAGCCCATCATCCTCCTGAAACCCTCATCAATAACCACCCGCTCAAAAGTTGGTGTCGTAATCGGACCTCCGTCTGCCGCTGTGGCCACCGCCGCTGTGGCCGCCGCCACTGTGGCTGCTGCCGGCCCCCGCGTGGTGGTGGCCGTGGCCCCCGGCTGCGTGGTTGCCGTAGTAGGCGTTGTAGTAGTAGCCGTTCCACTCCGAGCGCCAGCTGTCGTACAAGTTCGACATGCTGTTGTCGTGGATGGAACCGCCGCTAGACCTCTGCAAAAAGTAAAAAAAAAACTTCTTTATACAGGTTGATTCAAAATGTTATGTAAATATCTGAGGGTCGTATTGTTGGGATCGAAATAATACTTTCTCTTCCTATGAACTTGTATCCTAAAATGCACACCCTCTGGAGCTACAGCCACTGTAAGTTGGGTAAAAAAAGATCTGAAATTGTGATTATGATAACGAATCAAGTGCAAATATTCCAGTACTCAGATAACACCAATCTCCTTGAGAACTGACGGCCGACTATCGAATTATCGAAATGTAATGCCCGTCAGTGTTGCCAGAGCTGCTGAACATAAAATGGCGCAAAAAGTTACGATAGAAGTCGCTATAGGCGAAATTTTTTTAAAATTAGCGACTGTTTTCCGTGATTCAGCGACATTTTCGATCACATTTCATTATTTTCATTCAGTTTATTACATCGGATAAAAATTATAGAAAAACCTTATTTCTTCAGATTTTGTTCAGAATAAAAATAAACAAAATTAATCTGAATTTTCCGATAAAATTTAATTCAGTATTATTATAGTTATCAGTTACATTGGTCAATCACAACGTACCTATATTTCTTGGTCGTATATTTGGAGTATTTTTTTGACAAAATCACATGTTAAGCCATGTCAACTTATATTTCTATAGTTCAAGATCATGCAGATCTGCGACTTTATTGCTATAAGTCACATTGGCTCCTATGAATTTCAATACTTACTGATTTAGGCATGATAAAATCTTCACAAGCATCTCAATTTTTTAAATTATATCTAATATACAGAGTATTATTCAGAAGTGGCAGAAATGACACAAATGATGAAAACAAACCCTGTCATCTGCCATTCTCTTATTTTCATATTATCTGATTATCTCTTCATCTGGAATGTTTCAATGTGAGTTCATATCCGTCGTCATAAATTAATGTGATCAAAATATCTCTATATAAACCGCCATGACTATGCTGAAAACGCTAGAATTCCGACACGTCGCAAATCAAGTTGAAATGTCGCATTCACCTTCCCTAAAAACTCTAGATTCAGCGACAAAACCGCTAAGATGGCAACCCTGATGCTCGGCGTCGAGGTGTCCAGGCGGCTGCCAGCCGGCAGTAGTACACATTACCGGTGATTAAATTATTGACTCAGAAGTGCTACAGCGGCAACAAATTTCAATGCACCATTGATGGGAGCGCTCAGCCACCAACGTATATGCGCTTGCAAATTTGTATCAAAGAGGATGAGTTTTTCGAGCACTTTTCCAAGTATCTGACCGCGAACTACAAACTGTGCGCATTTAAAGTTTGTAGTTCGCGGTCAAAAACTTAGAAAGTGCTCTGAAACGTCATCCTTCTTGATCCAGATTTGCAGCGCATATACCTTGGTGGCTGATCGATTCACGAAGGATACCACTATAAATGAAGTCAATCAAATAATATTCGACGTACTCACAACAAGGTAGGTTGTTTAAACAATCTATTTATTCACCCTCGCACTTCTGCCACTAGATGGCTCTTAGGACTAGATCGTCCTCCTACCCTTCTCGAAGCATTTAAATATTAGTTTTGTAGTAGTTGTCGTTGTAACTTGAAGTACCTTTTTCGGCGGCTTCTGTTCATAAGACCTTTCGTTCCATACGTCCTCCATATTGTACAAGTCTTCAGCGCCATAATTGTCATAGCCTCCCATGTGATTTTTGTTCAATTCGTTGAGCATATCTTCAGTCAATGGGGCGGGGTTCTTCTTCTTCGAACTTTTCTGCCGGTTAACCAACTAAAAAAATATCAAGAAAAAGATATTGAGAAAAAATATCCATAAGATCTGGTGATGGGTATATTCATGTATAATGAATTACCCATCCAAGCAAAAACTACGGTACAAACTACTCAAACAAGTACCTACCTAACGGAATAATTATGATTTATTACGATACCCACTTGCATGGTTCATTACAATCAGTCCTTTAAAACACATCGCAAGTTATTGTAACCACTATTTTTCAATCGATTAAAGAATAATATAAAATTTGGGTCGACAAATACAATAAATTTAATAATGCAAAGGTCCCGAGTTCGTTCCCCAGCGGTGAAGGTTTTTTTAAATTTATTCACGATGATGATGCCATGACGTCACACAATTTGAATTTCGTGCCATTTGCAGACTATCTGGACTTGAAGTTCGCGCCGTCGACAAAAGTAGAGGAGTGGAAAATGCTGCTCTCTGATTGGCTAGCCGAGTCACGTAGTTTGGAGAAAAGTGGATGGGTGGGGCTGGACTGGAGCAACGGGCTACCTACTTCGAGGCATTTTTTTCAACGTCAACTGAGACATTTTCTAATGAAATAATTTTTTATTTTTGCTTCGATTTTAAGAAGGAACAATATCCACTGTCAATCTTTTCAATTTTTAAAAATATGAGAGAGTTGCATGAAGAGGGTGATAAATCATAACATATAACGCGTATGTCACCCACGCGGTACATTCAATCATTGAAACTTATTTAAAATTGGAGTCCATCCAAGAAAATCATAGCAAGTTCAAGATATCGATGATTTATGAGCTTGCCTACATTTTCCCATTTCAGTGTACAAAAACTATTCAATGTCAAAGACAGTAAAGTGTTATGAAATTTTTCAGCGAATAATTTGTTTCACTCACCACTGTTACTCCAAAGATGATAACAAATAGCAGAGATGCTAGCCCAATAACTATGACAGCAATGGCCCATTGTGGAAGAAGAACATCGTTCTCGGCATATCCAACTGTGGGATAATCATGTTTTGGTAACACTGAAAAGAAAGCAGTGAAGGTAAATTTAAGTAAATGTCTCTCGCCAGTCGTTTAAATAGTAGCTTTTGCTGCTGTGCTGCGGTAAATCTCAAAGTTATCGGAAGGTTATACGGTATTATGAGGAAGGAAACTTTTCTGCATGAAAAGGAAGCCTACTTTTATCCATACTCGGCCTAAATGGAACCTTTTTCTGGAAAGTATATTTTTCAAAAAATCACTGATCACTGCTCTGTTGGCTATTAATCTGACTTCCACGGCGGTGGCTTGTGTTCAACTCCCTACAAGGAGTCAATTTTCTTTTCATTTTTTTTTCACTCAAGTAATTTTTTGAAAGAATATACTTTTGAGTAAAAAGGTTCATTTAGGCCGAGAGGTCAAAAATAGTCTCCTTTTTCATGGAGAAACGATATTTTTCTTTATCATAGTACTTCATAACCTGCTGATAACCTTGACATTTTTTTCCGCAGCACGGCAGCAAGCTACTAATTGAATGACTGGCGAGAGCCGTTCGTAAATTTAATAAAGACCATGTGACAGTTGATGTCACCCCAATCTGGCAATCTAAATCCTTCTATGTATCGCTAGTTGCATAATGCAAACAATATTTTCCGAATTTGCTACGTGAATAACAATTTCGACAAAAATTAAAAAACATCGGTAATTCGAAGGTGATGATGAGGGATATTGATGGAAATGGAATTATCGTTATTTTTCAACTATGGATCGAAACCCACCTGAGAAATCTGTGTACGCCGGGTCAACGATGAAATTCCCCATGGATAGTTTCCCTTCCAGCTTTAGGGACTCGTTCAACGATTTCCCTTCTCTGTTTGAGCCGCCCAGAGTCGTGAGAGCGTCGTCCAACGATTCGTGGAAGAATTTTTTGATTTCTTGGGTATTAATTCTTCTGCCCAAATCGTTCAATTCGACTACGTAGTCCACGAGTACGCTACCCTCACTAAGGTATAAATGAAAAGCGTTTTTTTAAACTAAAATAGCTCTTTTACTGGTGGTATCGAAGCATTGGAGTATCACTTAAATATCTAGGAATGAGTGAATATGTTTTTTTAATTACTACCTCTGCTACTTTATTATTTCTGATAATACAGGCAATTTCGTGTTCATTAGTTTATGACAAACACCAAACTATTAGACTGATGAAAGTGTAAATTCTTGACAGTTTTTTTGATAAAATGAAATGAAAATAAACAGGGAAACCACATAATATATTACCTGAATCCATCAATCCTGATTTTTCTATACCATTTGTTCAAGAGAGATGATGAACTATACACATAATCCAGCTGAAAAAAAAAAGATGGCATGTAGTTATAGGTATGTCCTATATGATTCAGAATAAAAAGTGGCGTTATTTTCAAATTCCTTCGAATCAATTTCGTAAATGGAATGAATGAGTAGTATATAATACCATCCAGTGACTCTAGTATATAGTAGTATTATAATGTAATTCGTTGGTATGTATGTACAGTCAGATGCAATGAAGATGTTGCGGTTGGATGGTGTTAGCGCTCTTATTGCAGAAGTGACTAAAGGTGCTATCACCGCCCATGCACGACTTGATCATTGCATCTGCCTGTGTATACCATAAGGTCCTCCAGCCTATTTGTATTCTGTGTAGGCTTTGTTACTCTCCATACTCTCCATACGCCACCTTAGGAGAAGCACTGTTAATTGGAACGTAACAGCGAATTGTGCGGAATCATCTCCGGTCAAGGATACGAATATTAGAACTTGTAACTCATTTTATAAATAATAATTCTCTGCTCTGCCGTGGATTCGAACCTAGCAACCTTTCGATGTTCTGATAGCTAGTCAAGAGGTCAACAACTGCGCTATTCTGCCGTCTGGTATGATTAAAATTCCTGAACTTCGAACAAAATGTACCGATTTGAATGTTTACGAGTTGTTTATTGGTGCAAGTAGGTACTTTCTGAAAATAGCTACCTTCTATAGCAACTAGCAACTCATCTTTTATAAAGGTTCTCATAACGGATGCTTTATACAGCAGAACGAAACGATTATTCAATGTCTTTACAACCACTCACAACCAAATAAGGCATCTTGTTGTACAATATATCTCAATATTTCACGACTACGTTATACAATGATCTTAGATACTTTTAGATGCTTCTAGAAACCTATGCATAGACGTTTTTGAAGACATTCTGAATATGGAGCTAGTAGATAACCTATAGGGCTACGAGGGCAACATCTCATGTATTTTCTTATGAAGGTATAGGAAGCGTGATCTAACTGGGCGGTTCAATTTATCGATCATGATAGTGCTTCTGAGATGATGTAAATGATCTCGATTTCAGAAGGATCTATAATTTGTGGTTCAAATGGAATGGACCTTTGGCAATAATCACAGCTATATACCAATTTACTGATCTCAAAAGTAACTCAAGTAAGAACATACTTCTTTGTTATGTGGTTTGATGATACATCGATATCATATTTTCTAAAAATCGATCAAGATCGAACCTCGACCACTCAGATCACACTTCCTACAATTAGCTGCCAATGATATTATTCCAGCTCCTCCAGGTCCTTTTGACCAGAATTAGCATCCATACAAAAATACATGGGAATTTGTCCTAGTAGCCCCATAGCTCATCTACTGGAGCACACATTCTAAGACAAATTCAAGATGTGGTGTAATAGGCAATAAATAATGTTGATAGGGTTAATCATAATGGCGTCGCACGGTTGGTGTACCCATTGAAAAAAAATACATATGTTGCAGTTCTGAGCTATGCGCGTATCTGCAGTACATATTTTTTTATTTTTTGTGATTACCTATAGCAACTATCATATACTTGCACCTATTTTCATGTTCTGAGTATTTGTATCTGTTTTTTTATTGTTTTACTCACTAAAAATTTCGACCCAATCGGTTGAGCCGTTTAGTACCTACCGCGTTCAATTGTATTCTTAAATCATCCAGGAAACCATATACAATTTCAACCCAATCGGTTCTGCCGTTTAGGAGTTATGTGAAAAAGATAAGTATGGAAGAATAATTCTTACTACTCGTTGTCTTATTACCCGTTTTCCCGTAGGAATGAAACATTTTCCCGCGGAAAAAAGTAGCCCAGTTTCAAACAAACAAACAAACAAAAACCAAATTGTCCCTCTTTATGATATTAGTATAAATATAAAATACAGGGTGTTTCATAGGTAAAGGGCAATATTTCAATGGTAGATAGGGGTCACCAAAGTGGTTCTGAAAATACCATATTTGATAGGTCTAAGAGTCTTCATAACGGAGATACAGGGCGATTTATCGATTTCGAATAAATATTCATTCGTCTATAAGTATTGAACTACCCAGTATATTTTTCTGAAATTTGGCATGGAGCTTATACTTGGGACGTTGAATTCATTCACCTATCGGGTGAAGTGAAAATCCAGGTTCGGCTTCAGGAAAAATTTACATTTATTCGAAATATTAAAATAACACACTGTATGTAATAATTGACAGAGTTCATCGAAGGAATCGTGGAGAGGAGGAAAAACTGAACTGGATTTGATGCTTTTTGTTTTCCCGCCACCAATTTTCATCGTAACAATCATAAACAGTAAGCTAAAAGTATGTCAATTTGAAGAGTATTGAAATTATGAAACCACTTTCAATTATGATTATTCGATATATTCTTGTTGAATGATCGTTCGAAAGAACTTACTCAGTCTCACAGTCTTTATAACAGAGATACAGGGTGAATTGTCGGTTTCGAATAATTATTCACTCGTCCATATAAGTATTAGACTATACCCATCGCAGTAATATTTTCTCAAATTTGGTATTAAGCTTACTTGGGACGATGGATTCATTGACCTATCAGGCAGGATGGCAATACAGGTTCAGCTTCAGGAAAAGTCTCATAGTCTTTATAACAGAGATACAGGGTGAATTATCGAATTATAATTATTTGGTAATATTTTCATTCCGCCTGATAGGTTAATGAGTCCATCGTCCCAAGTAAGCTACATACCTACCAAATTTGAGGAAATGTTACTGGGTAGTTTAAGACTTATGAAGACTGTGAGACTTAGTGAGTTCTTTCGAGCGATTTTTTGACTGAAATATCAAATAATCATAATTGACACTGGTTTCATAATTCCAACACTCTTCAAATTGAAATATTTTCAACTTCCTGTTTATGATTGTTACCATGAGAATTGGTGGCGGGAAAACAAGAAGCATCATACACAATTCAGTTTTTTCTCCTCTTCACGATTCTTTTGATGTACTGTGTTAATTATTGAATACAGTGTGTTATTTTAATATTTCGAATAAATGTAAATTTTTCCTGAAGCCGAACCTGGATTTTCACTCCGCCCGATAGGTGAATAAATTTAACGTCCCAAGTATAACCTCCTTACCAAATTTGAGAAAAATATACTGGGTAGGTCAATACATATAGACGAATGAATATTAATTCGAAATCGATAAATCACCCTGTATCTCCGTTATGAAGACTCTAAGACCTATCAAATATGGTATTTTCAGAACCACCTTGGTGACCCCTATGTACCATTGAAATATTTCCCTTTACCTATGAAACACCCTGTATATCAATATTAGGGTTTCATTATATGTGTTCTATATTACTAGTCATGATGTGTCTATATATACACATTCCATTCATTATCATCATAAGACATTTATTGTATGCATATATTTCGATTTTATCTGAAGATTCACTTTTTAATTACTTATTGAAATAATACCATCTGCTACTATTTATTGATCTGTTTGAATGTTTTTAATGAAACAACTCACGTTCAAGTTCTCTTTAGTGGCGTTTTCAGTTTTTTTTTGAACACTGTACTGAAACCATATGCACTTGCTACCAGTATCGCAATATTCGTAGAAGTTGTCATGCTTGTCTATATAATTGTTACTTTGTTTATGTATACAAATACTTCAAATGCATAATCTTTATTATTTATAGTTTCATAATGAATATCAGAAAATAGTTCATTAGTTCAATCCAAGGTTGGTAGAATTAATGGATGTTCAATCACTCAGTAGTTCCGCCTGTGGGCATGTGTTGAAAGGTTGGGAGTTTGTGATTCAAATCTAGACACCAAACAATAACTGGCTGGGCATCGTTAGATGCATATATTCGATCAAATAAATTCATTGCTTAAAATTTAAAGGTAAGGTCTAGAATGGTGCTCAAATGGGGCCCGAGTGACAGACAGAGAGATTCGAGGTCTTATCTTCTTCACAGACCAGGTAACTTTTTTTTGAATTCCGGACATCTTGATAGGCATTTGTTCCTGGGATTCTGAGACCACAATCACCAAAATTTTGTATCTTTAGAATGAACTCCCAAATAAAATCAAAACTTATATTGGTTTGCTAAACCAATGTAATTTTGCGTTTGGACACTCTTTTAGGTGAGTTGAAATGTTGAAATAGGTATTTATGAATGGTTTTGATCACACATGGTTACTAAAGTTGTATGTGATTGACTTTCAATGCTATATATTTGTGTATAACTCTTTTCAGATTCAAAATTTATGTTGAATGTGACTTGCTAACCTCCTCAAATCGGTTTACTGCCATAAATTACCCACCAACTGGACAATGCATTCAATCTGCTAGACTGATGAGTGTGAGTTATTTCCTGGCCACCTCCCAGCTATACACCATGACCCTGCTGTTACAGCACAGCACATGACAATTTTCGATTAATAAGATTATATTAATACTGTGTTGTGTATGTATGTTTATAAATAAACTTATTATTATTATTATTTTGCAGTCTTCAAAAATCCCTCACCTGACTCTGCACCTCATTGGCCAACACCTGCCACTCCTTGGTATTCCTATCCAGCAACTCGGGCTCCCATTCCACACCTCCCACCAACTTCACGGTGGCCGCTAAATCGCACTCCTTGGAGCACACCCCCGGCGTGGTCGGCCGCGGGGTGGTAGTCGTGGTGGTGGTTGTGGTTGTGGTGGTGGTTGAGGTGGGGTCGGCACTCGGGGACGCTGTGGAGGAAGCTGCGCGCGCCGCCTCCAGCAGCTTCTCGATGGAGATCGGCGTGGTGGGAGGGGAGGGCCAGCCGGTGAACTCAGTGGTGGCTCTAGAAATAATTGTTATTATCACTTTTAGGCCTACCGAATGGGCACACGTACGTTTTGTAAACGTTAAATCAACGTAGATCAGGTAGAATAGACGTTTTTGGTTGAGGAATTTAACGTTGATATATTTTTGAAGAGAATAACGTTAAAACTAAACGTTTAATAGACGTATTGAAAAGGATATGTCCTAACGATCCATGAAATTCGTACATTTATAAAACGTGTTCCCAAAACGTTAGACAAACTCTTGAGATGAACGTTTCTTCAACGCAAATCCTTCATCATTTTCTAACTGATAGTGGGGAAAAAACTTGAATGAAACGTTATTCAACTACATTTTCCAGCCTTCATTTGACAACGTTTATTATACCTTGTTGTTAAACTATTTTTCAAATCATAGTTGAACGTTGAACTGCTAGCAGTTATATAACGTTTATTCGAAACGTTTGTTAAACCCTTGGAATGATCGTTTTTTCAACGCCATTCTTTCAACAAAAATCATCTGCTGGTCAGGAGATCAACGTGTTAAAAATGTTTTTCAACAACGTTTCTCCACCGTTATTTGCCAACGTGTAATAAATCTTGTTATCAAACTATTTTTTACATTTTGCTAGAAGTGCTCACGATTATGTAACGTTTTTTGAAAACGTTTAATGAACTTTTAACTCTGACGTTTTCCCAACGTGAATCTTTTACCATCATTCAACAGTCAGTAACAGAAACAACGTGATGAATACGCTTTTAAATAACGTTCCTCAACAATTACCCATCAGTAACGTGTGATTAATGTTGTTATCAAACTATCTTTTACATTTTGGTAAAAGTACTCACGGTTATGTAACGTTTTTTGGTCCCGTTTAATGAACTATTAGAACTAACGCTACTAACTATAGGTCTTCATCGAGAACGACGATGGATCTATGAACGAAATGAATACCTATGGATTTTCTATTACAAATTCGTTTTCTCGAGGGAAAAAAATGTAACATGATCGTTGATCTACTGCAGTCTTCAAATTAATTCAAATGAAACATCTCCACCTGAAGCGCTGTCACAGCCAGGGAAGAGGGAGGGGGAGGATGAGGGGAGGGATGAGGAGGAGGGGGAGGATGAGGAAAGGGATGAGGAGGAGGGTTGAGGGGGAGGGGGGATGAGAAAGGGGTCTCAAGTTGTAGTATTCAATAAGATGCACGTCCAAGTTTTAGTAGGTAATAATGAGTTGGGATTCAATGATTCAAAACGGATCCATTCTTACCTAGGTAATTCGTGAACTTGAATAGTCCATGTGAAATAGGACTTGCCAATTATTTATTTCATCTAAGAAATTGAAAAAAATCTGATCTATTGTTCCTTGCTATTTTTTTCATTAAAGTTCAATTATTCCAAGAAATTGAATGCGGTTATCGTCAACGTTTATATAGCATTTTGTGATAAAACTTTCATCAGGGCTTTGGTTGTGTGGGTCAAACTGATTTTTAGACTTTGAGAAGACGACAGCATTTATTCCAAAATCATCTACAACCTTAAAAATCATCAACACATTTTTTCATTCGAATTGCAATGAACAATTACCGGTATAGAAAATATGAAATGACCACATAAAGAACGGAGGTTAGTATAAGAGAAATAACGAAACATACCTTAGAAATGATCAGGGACCACTTTTCATTATTCGTTAAATATAAACAGGATAGTTTGGATGGAAAAACCAAAAAGGTTCATATGCATAAAGTTGCAGTTAACATCAGGAAGTATTATAAGTATTACTTAGACAGAGTGGTTCGATTTACTCTCCGGAAGCAAAAACATACGAGCCAGAAAAAAAAACGCGCAAAAACCTTTTGTTGTGACGATCGAATCGGTTTTGAAAACTGGTTATTCTATTTGCGATATCTATGGCAAACATTGGCAAAACCCACACTACACCTATCTATGTAGCAAGATAGCATAATTCTTTCCTAGATTTAAGTGAATAAGAACGCCAAAACTGACCTATACTAAACCTATAACAAATCATGATTTTATTACAATTTTTTGCCTATGTCGCCGTGGGCGCCAGTCGAGAGTAGACCTTTCGGATCACGGCGATGCGGTGTTGCATTTCTCTCACCATGACTTGTTATAGAACGGTGGCCACCACTCCAATCGCTGATGCTGATTCAATTTATATGCAGTTGTACATGTAGCTAGTATATAAAATATTCTGGATTGTTGTTGGAATTGAAAAACTGCAACACTTTCTTTGAGAATTTGTATCCTCTCATACAAAGCAGATATTGACGTGAATCAATAAACAATTTGTTAAGAAATGGTCACACTTTGTATGAAAATATGACGAAACTAAATTACACCGCTCAATTTTTCTACAGGGGGTCAAGTTTTTGAGGGTTGAAAAGTATTTTTTGTTATTCCCTGTGTAATGGTCAAGCTATCAGTATTTTAAAGAACTGGAATCTCGTGAATCTCGAAGGTGAATAACGCCGAAGAATAGGGACCTCGAAATTTACCTGGAAGGCCATCCTTTGTGGATGGTGGGCGGCGTGTTCCTTGCCGCCTCCATGGCTTGGGTCTTGGGGGTGGTCCTCGTAGCAGATTTCCTGACCCCACCGCCAGGTCTGGACGCGAACACCACCTTCATAAAATGCGAAGAAAATAGCAAGAATTAATTATAGGGGCGGAGACAAACTTTCATTTCAACTGCAGTTCGTAAATGCATGACTTACTAATGTGAAAAAAAAATCACAAGAAACTAATATGCTCATTATAGGGACAAATAATATTAATCAATGCATTTACGAAAAATAATGATAATCAAACCAGCAAACACATCTGTTATATTTACATAACTGTTATATAACATCAACGGAACTTTTTCATATAAAATATTTACATAAATATTCCATAATAACTCTAAAATATGTGAACCTCGTATTTATATAAAATATTTACGTAAATATTCTATGAGAATTCTGAAATATGTGAACCCCAAATTTATATAAAAATTTAACGTAACTATGATGTAGCTGATATGTGAAAATTTGCTATCAATATGAAAGCTGATATCTCATATAATAGCTACACAACTTTGCTAATTATCTTATCATTTGTTTGGCAATACTGATTATGATTACTAGGGCTTGCAGACAGGAGAAAAAAAAATTATCATCGCGGTGGGAGAGCGACTACATTTTCATGCACCAATCGTGCGTGGCGTAGTTGTTTGGGCTAGCTCCACACCGGCGACCTGGGCTCATCAATGCCTGCGACTTTTTTTATTCTGTTTTCTCGAGTGATTTTCCGAAAAATATTCATTTCAGAAAGACGGTTCAATAAGGACGAGTAAGAGGGATATTCTCCTTACTCCCTGAAAGAGAACTGTGTTGGAGGCATGTTTTACTGTTGAGGCTGATAGGGATTCGCTATTTCAATGATGTTTTTTACCGCGATGATTATTATTTTTCGGTATCGCGCTGTAGCGTTCTCCCTTCTCACATTCCCAATTCCTATCGGTTGACTACTTTGAGGTTATGAGTTATGAGTGAAGACTTGGAAACTGAAGGCATTTTTGGTATTCAATAACTATTTCGATAATTTCAGTTTGTTATATTCGTAACATTATATTTGAAGCAATGAAATTATATGAAATGTATATAAAATAGTGATATAATGGTTACGTAAAAATCATATAGTATTTGTGGCGGACATTTCGCCATTACAGGGATGTAACTATTACATAACATAGTTACATAACATGTATTGTCAATTTTGTTATGTCAATATTACATAACTGTGTTTGCTGGAAACTGAATATTAAAGGGAGAATATTTATTTGAGTTGATACACTGTTAATTCATATATCGGGTGTCCCAAGTTATCGTATACAGTCAATATCTTGCTGATTTGACAAGATAATTGAAACATATATACGAAAAATGCAATGAGTGGTATCGAAGTATCGCCCTAATGACATTTGTTAACAATAAGATTTCAATTTTTTTACACAAAAACACGTTTTTGCCGACGATAAAAAATACCTTGGAATTTCCAGCAGGCTTCAGAGTGGTCGTTATGGGACTTGGTGTCGAATTGGCAGCGATACCTGGAGGCAGGAGATCGGAGGGGGCCTCCGAGGGTTTGTATCCGGGTGGTAAGAAGGCTGATATGTCGATGGGTCGTGGATTCAGATCTGAAAAATTTGAAGTTCATACTTGTGATAATTATTCTGAGAAACACCTACGGATCAGAATTGTTTAATACACATTTCAACTGAGTGGAAAGACATATAATAATGATAACATTCTTTGATCCCAAGACACAATGTTTATATATGGAAACGAAAAAAAAATCAAATATGCAATGCAACGAAAGATGAACAGTTCAATCAGAATTGGGTTTTCATTTTGACAGTTTCCAAATGTTCACTTTGTCTGGTGTGATGCTCATGGGTATCAGAATTCATATTGAAAGTAAGATTCGAGTGCATTCTCTTCTTTTTAGTGAAATGAATGGAAATGCATACTTTCATTTTGAAGAGAGAGTCAATATCTAGCAGATCCCTTGGTTTGTATAGGCAATATGTTGATTCCAGAAATGGTAGTTCATAAATACATATTATGGCTTTATTTTGAAGAGATTCGAGAGGTTTCGAAACAAATTTTGCTGCAGTACCCCAGATCGATATCAGATATATACTGTAATTTAGAGTAAATCAAACTGAAATAAATTAGTTTCGAGTATTTGAGAGGTATAAAATACCTCAATTTGTATAGTGTACCAACAATGGGAGATTTTTTTTTGAGCAATTGAATATGCGATGACCAAGATAGAGTCTGGTCTATAGTTGAACCTAAGAGTTTGGAGTTTTTTGTAGGATTTAAACAAAAATTCCCGAATTTCAAAGGATCTATTTGGTTAACAGGTATAAATCTTTTCGAAATGAACATAAGAGAAAATTTATCGAACTTGAGTGTCAATTTATGATCTTGTAACCATAATGTAATTGAAGCGAGATCTTATTGTTCCATTTGGTTTTGTATTCCTTGTATATTTTTTCCGCAATAAATGAGAGTTATTGTGTCATCGGCAAATAATATCAAATTTCCTTGTAATTTCAAACTTGAGATAGAATTTATATAAATCAGAAATGAAATAGGTCCGAGAATTGATTCCTGGGGCACACCACAAGATATGATTCTTGTTGAAGAAAATGTAGGTGGCGTAACTCTCACGAAGAGGCAAACTATAATATCGAATTTGATTTTGTCATAGAAGAATATTCCCAGGAAACTTTATTCGAATATCACAATTATTTGGAAATTTATAAACAAGAAACGAAGATAAGAATTCAACCTCGACACTCTGTATTTTGGAAACGAATAACTTGCAGTATGTATAGAAAGTATTCATTACTTCACTCCAGGAGGGTACCATTCTGGAAGTTATTACTTGAGAATAATTTGTGTTCTGAATTCAAATGTCTACTAGGAATCCCAATAAATTCCAACATTCGTATTGACGATGTTGCCGCTTCTCAGAATATATCTAAAATATTTATGAAAAATGGTGTGCTACGAAAACTAATGTTGATATAACTTTGTGTTGCCAATCCAAATTTTGTAATGAGATTTCGAGCTCAACCAAATTGAAGTATGCAAAATCCAGTGGTGCAGCCGAATTTTCTTGAAGAAAAAAATCGCTAATGATATTTAGTAACTTATTTCAACATAAGAAAAAAACATATTATACCGTGAAAATTGGAATAATTTTCTGCAAAGTGTAAGTGAACTGTAGATTTAGAAAGAGGGTTCGTTGAGTTGGACACACTGTATAATATATTATAAATCGATATATAAATATATAAACGATCGATATGTTGTGGAAAATGCATATTTTCAAAATTCGACTTATATAATATCAGATTTCTGACAAAATAGGAAACATTCCGAGACTTCTGAGAAAGATTTCGAAAGTTCACAGATTAGAGAATGTGTCATGGATTCTCCATTTCAGAACTCTAACATTCATCTCATGATATTTTATTATCTTTATTATTATTCCCAAGAAACATACATGTTTATAGCAGGGAAAATTATGAAAGAGTAACTAAAAAAAAAAAAAAAATAGATAATCAGATAATCATTTTTAAATCATATACATAATACATATAATGTTGTTTCTTCTAGAGACTGTTAAATATAATTTCTTTAATTGATTCAGGATGACATGAAGAGAATCAGAGACATAAGTATTTTTATCACAATTTTGCATCACAACCTGCTTACATGCAAATAAAAATTTATGTTTAATTGATTCGACCGTTACTTGGTGAAAATCTATAGCAAATAATGTAAAAACAACAACAGTGGTTTTCACATTTAAAAATGTATGACTTGAGAATTTCGCGCTTCATGTCACAGATCTGACGTTAACATTAGATGAAGATTTTTACTAGCTGCATACACGTAACTGATCAATAGAATGAAGAGATTTTGTATTTCGTGTAAATTTTTTTAATTATAAATCGCAAAGCGCTTTCGGCTAAAAAGCCATCATCAGTGCTATACTCGTCAAGTAAATACTTGACGAGTATAGCACTGATGATGGCTTTTTAGCCGAAAGCGCTTTGCGATTTATAATTAAAAAAATTTACACGAAATACAAAATCTCTTCATTCTGTTAACATTAGAGTCTGACTTGTATCTCAAAATTCTAGGATGTATGATGTGATCATCTCATTCAGAATTTTGACATAACTCGTCTGACAATTCAGAATTTTGGAATGTTAATAAGTGGAAAAGACGAAACTCACCTTTTATGACATCATCAGACTTTTCTGCCTTTTCTGTGGTAGTTCTTGGTGCCTTGTACCCAGGCGGCAAAAATTTTAAAACATCGTCGGCCTTGGTATTCTTGAAAATGCTACTTTCCGTAGTGTGGCTCTTGTATTTCGGCACTTTGTAACCCGGCGGCAAAAATTTGGACACATCATCTGCCTTCGTATTCTTCAAAATGCTGCCTTCGGTAGACTTCTCTTCATTCTTGAACGGCTTATAGCCAGGTGGCAAAAATTTGGAGATGTCATCTAGCTTGGTATGCTTCAAAACACTGCTTTCAGTCGTTCTTTCTCCACTTTTTGGTTCTTTGTATCCAGGAGGTAGGAACTTGGAGATGTCATCGAGCTTCGTGTGCTTCAAAATGCTGCTCTCAGTCGATTCTCCTTCACTTTTAGGGGGTTTGTATCCGGGTGGCAGAAACTTGGAGATGTCATCTAGCTTGGTGTGCCTCAATACACTGCTTTCAGTCGTTTTCTCCCCAGTTTTTGGTTCTTTGTATCCAGGAGGTAAGAACTTGGAAATATCATCAAGCTTCGTGTGCTTCGAAATGCTGCTTTCAGTCGTCTTTTCTTCACTTTTAGGAGGTTTGTAGCCAGGTGGCAGAAATTTGGAGATGTCATCTAGCTTGGTGTGCTTCAAAACACTGCTTTCCGTCGATTCTTCTTCAGCTTTACCTGGCTGATATCCAGGAGGTAGAAACTTGGAAATGTCGTCGACAATCTCGAGTCCACCCTCTGTGTTATTGTACCCCGCGGGTAACAACTTCGATAAATCTTCCCTCTTCTTAGATTTCTCCTCACTCCTCTGGAGTTTCGCCCTGTTCAAAATCTCCTCCAGCAACTTCGAACTCCTGTCGTCACTGGCATTCAATTTGTAGTCAGAGGAGATGATGGAGGCGATATCCGAGGTACGTGGCGGGGCGATTTTCTTTTTCGCTCCGCCGGGTTGAGGTCTGGGCTTCTTGGTGGTCGCTCGCCGGTTGGCTGGGGAGTACTTGCGGATGTGGACCTGCGGGTAGGGGGCTCTAGTGGTGGCAGGAGCGGCGAGCTTGATGGCTTCCATGTCGGGGGTTTCCTTTATGACGGCGATGTTGTTACCCAAACCTCCTGAAATTTTTTAGACAATTAGACTTATGAATATGAATCATTCCATTGTGATAGATAGATTTTTTACAAATATCTGATTTAATTTTCTTGATTGAAAAATGATCTGCTTGTCTAGTTGTATGATTGTGGTGATTACTATCAATTTGAAAAACTAAAGACAATGTATGAATGAATGACCGATTTCAATTTGAATTTATATAGTGAATCTATATCTAATAACTCTCTAATAACTTTACTTCTGTAAAGGTTCATAGTAAGTTCCAAATATGAACCCATTTGTCACTATGAAAGCATTTCTTTTCAATTCTAATTTAACTCTAGTAGCCATGATCATGACAGCATAATATGACGAGTCGTTATTGATTGATATATACCTATTAGATTCGAGGGTCATTAATGCAAATCTCGCATCAGGACAATGAATTCAGGATAATTATATAACAGAGGCGGTAAAAAAATAAAAAAAATAACGAAAACTACCTTGATAGTGAAAAAACACTTCAAGCCTCGAAAAGGAATAAATAATGGTAGTTTCATAGCTAGTGGTGGAAAAACGAATAAATTATTGGTAAAATAAAAGAAGAGACTGGAGAATATAGGGTCACAATTTTTTTCTATGGGGGACGTTAGGTTCAAATATGAATTTCAACGACACAATCCGAAAAAAAGGAAGATTCCTGACTCAATATTTTCTGATAGAGGAATGATATCTGGGGAAAATATATTTCAATTTATTCATGATCATACCTGTCAATAATCCACTAGACAAATCCGACTGAACCCTATCCAACTTATCAATGAGACTTTCAGTCGATGTTTTATGTTTTGGCACAGTTACTGTAGTGAATTCTTCTTCTTCCCGTTCTTCCGTTGTAGTGTCATCGTAATCCTCTTCGTCATCTTCATGAGAATGTTCATTCAATAGTTTCACTCTGACATCTTGTTCGACTATGGAAGACGGAAGATACCTACAAGAAACAAAAAAGAATTTTTCGAAAAACATAACCTGTTTTCCATATATTGTTCGGTGATTATGTGGAAGAAGTGAGGGAAGGACCCAGCAAACATATTAATAATAATAAATTGTCTTTATTTATCCTGGCGGAGTTTAGCAAGGCTACTCTTCCACTCAAACACGTTAGAAACATCAAGTACATTCTTGTATACATCGTTAATAATAATGATATTAACAATAATAATACCTTACTGTTGGTATTATTATAGCACTATTACAGTGATAATATCAAATCTCTGGCCGCCTTCTGGCCCAGTATAAATGATAGGTCGGTAGATTGCTGGCAACGGCCAAAGCTGCACCGGTTGAATGCATTTTGGTGCTAGTTCATACTCGATACTTTTTCGATTGAAACGCCCTGTATGTTTTTCCACAGCAATATTTCATTGAGGCATATTTGATCCTATCGCCATATTTTAGTCCAAACAATCCGCCCTTTAGCCTGTATCCAAATGACTCACCCTTTATATGTATATTTATTCATTGCATTCAGATATCATCATGGAAGTCATGAAAAATAGGCAAGTCGTCTGACTCATGAAATAGGTAAGACAGAAATTCGGTAGCAAATCGGAGAATCGGATGTTTTTCCTTGTTCATCGTTTGTATGTTTCTATTATGATGATGATAAATAATTATGAAATATTCCTATTAGAAAGTTAACTACAAATAAATTCCGTACACATATCATTTCGAGTAAGGTGTAGTAGCTCATTTGAAATAAGTTCGATTGGTAACGGGAGGACCGGAGTTCGAATCCCGTGGTGGTCGACTTTTTTTTATTTGAATATATCGAATTTATATACAAACATGTACTGGCCCATCAATCTTCACAGGAATTTAGCCGTTCTGGCCAATTCTGGCCTGCACATTCTGGGCCAGAAGAAAGGAAAAGAGGAGCGAAACAGAATAGAATTGTGACTCCAGGGGCGCGTGAACGAATACGGTAGGAACAAGAGATAAATAAGGATCAAATGAGCAAATAATGTTTGAATTGAAGGACGATTGATTGAATAAATGGATGATCTTACCTAGCACCTGAGACACTCCTACTCGTCTGCACAGAAGCAATAACGACCCAAGTGTCCGTCGAATTTTCATGTATCATCGTCGAAGGTTCCGTGGTGCTCATCAAAGATTTGGTCACGATGGGCAACGGAGTCGCAGACGCGATCACGGTATTGTTCACCACCGTCTTACTGGTGACCACCGAAATGACCAGACCCGAATCATCTCGATCACTGCCGGGTGGGTTTTTCGCTGTTACGGAAGAGGAAATCGTCACGGATGGTGGAAGAGTTGTGGTTTCGACTCTGGTGCCGGCAAAAGCTGTGGAATCTTGGGGTGTATTGGATTCTTTGAGATGATCGTTCTGAAAAAAATATCGTTTTTGCATCAATCATAAATCTAAAATTAGAATTCATCTATGAAGACACATGAGATATTTACTAATTTGGCGCAGTCGGTAGAATTCATTCAGGATACTCGATGTCAGAATGATAAAAACATATTATATAAGGTATTTAACCCAACTTCAGTATTGATGAGTGAGATTAATGTTCGAGATATTTGAACGTGCGACCAAAGCGCCTTATTCATTTATATACGTGTTGGATAAAAACATTTGTCGTCGACTATATGAATTCCTCCTACAACGAAAGTCAACTTGTCACTGACATTAGTGACATTTGACATGCGTATAAACTATACCCATGGAGAATAAATTTCTCTTGTGTTAGGCAACAAGGATTGAAATTAGCTCAGAAACGTTGAAAAGCTAACACGTTGACGTGAAATCTTCGATGAAATTCATATTTTCGATTTGAATGCAGATTTATTGATAAAAACCCTACAGTGAAACGATGCGGTGTATGTTTGGTTGCCTATACCACATTCTATAGTTAATAGACAAATTGATCGTTAATAGAGATCATCAACAATCAATTTCGTCTACAGGAATCAAACATGTTAATTTGAAGACGACGAAAACATATAATTCAACATCATCTATCATCAGATTGAACGGAGAGAACTGCATAAACACGAATTCTTTGAAGAAAATTCATTACAATTTCTGTTTGATTACTATTATTATCATTGCATCAGGCCATGTGAAATTATTGACCATTTCACTCACCTCATTTTCTCGACTGTCGAATTCTCCTACCCCATCCTCGGGATAATCGCTCTCCTGGATATCGTTAGCCCCGTCACGTGACTCGTAACTGCCCGAGTAGTACTCGGTACTATCGAACGGTACCATCGTGTGCACCTCTTCGTTTTCCCGAGTTCTCGAGTCGTTATTAGTTCGGTTTTCCTCTACGATTTCCTCGCTTTTCCTCTGTTTTCCTCTCGACTTGACAACATCGTCGTCGTAGTTGTTGTCGTTATTCCCCCGAGTTTCCTCTACGATTTTCTCGCTCTTCCTTTGTTTGCCCTGTGACTTGACTACCTCCACTTCGTCGTCGTTGTTGTTGCCGAAATTGTATTTGAGGGGTTCCTCAAGGAGCGTGTCGAGGTCCACCGATTTCTGCCTTTTGGGCTCGTCTTTCTCGTAGTTGAAAGTTAGCGATTTAGCCTTGTTGGGGATGGCAGGGGGTGTTTGTGGTTCTGGGGAAGTGGGACTGTAAACGTCGCCGTTCTCGTTGACGAAGTAGTCCTTGACTTGAGGTCTGGTTGTTTTCTTGTCAGAGTCTGGAGCGACAATTCTGGTTCTGCAAAGAGAAATATATCATTTTTTAACTACTAACTTTTGTTAAGTAAGCTTCACCAGCTCCCTCAAATATTAGGATACTCAATTGCTGATCAATTGAAACGCAACAAGCACATTTTTGCAATGATTTCAACATTTTCAATATTTTCGCGATAACTGCACATATTCGGATGCGGTGTCCTTCATTTTGAAGATGAATCCATTGGGTATATATAAGAGGACTCAATCACTGATGATAATACGTGGTGATACAAGGTTATTAAATATACATGGTGACAAACTTCTGCGAAATGATGAAAAATTCTCCAAGCTCCCAATTCGATGGGAAAATATTCGGAATTTTATTCAATCTCATTTTTATGATAGGTACTCAAGCAAATTTTTCAGAAGTTTCCATGAATATAATTCCATCGATCTCGGTGTATGATACTGTATTCGTTGATTCATTTTGTAAAATTTGTATATCGTTACTACGAAGTTGGAACCCACTCCGCCGAAGTTGGAACTTGTGCGGGGTTAGGAAGAGCGCGACCTATAGCAGTGGAATCCGAACCATTTCTAGGATCACATTTTCATGAAAAATGTCAGGATTCGAACCGACAATACCTCTGCATCGTAAACAACTACCTAGCGAATGTGAGCGCCTTAGACAGCTCGGAAACCTTGCCATCATCATTTTTTTCTGCGAATCTTGAGGGAAATACCTATCATTCAATATCGAACCCTATATAAGTTGATCAATGTGTTGTGCTCCATCTTCCTAGATGTTCTTATATCATATAATATCTTTTCATTATTTTTGCAAAGCACTCTGTATATAAAGGATATACCATCCCACAGGGGTGGGTGCGTTCGGATACGTACTCTGCATTCGAAATTTGTTAGATTGTGTATATTTCACTCTGTGACTGTCGTTCGTAAAGTTTAGTACACAGATTTGACAAAGTTATTACAGGGCGAACAAGAATGAAGAAGTTTATTTCGTTTGTTTCAAGTTAGTTTAGGTCTATTTGAAACGCAGTTCATATTTCGATGTCGAGAAACATGATATCTCCAGAAAGTGGGACAGTAAGGTACTGTTGTAAGTTCTGTTCTGATAACAAAATATTCAATTATCAAATCAATCATAAATGAGCCTATATTGAGGTTTATTGTATATGCTTCATTAGTATAGCAGTACCTAAGCAACAATATTCGATGTTGAATATAGGACAAATATGTTCTTGTTGCAGTTCGATCATTGATAAAGAACGTCGTGTACTTCACCACACTGGTGTTTAACATAGTTATTTCATCGCTTTGGTGCTTTGAGGTAGATCTAAGAATTGTAACAAGTTATTCAACCGTATTAGAACATCCAACGTGAGTCTTATTCATCTTCGATTTCCTTTGATATTCAAATAGTACTAGAGGAAGTATAGCATTCTACTCGAGAAGCTTGCTGGTCGTAGAGAAGGATATCCCGTTTACCTGTGATTCAAGAAGTGCGGCCTCCCACCTTGTCCCACCCCATCTCCACCGCCCTCTTCCAAACCATTCCCGAACCCGCTGGCCCCGCCCACCTCCCTTCCCTTCTGCGGGAACGCCCCCTGACTAGGCGCGAACCCCCCGGAAAACTCCGGCGCGTTCTGCAGCGTGATCTGCCCCAAGAAGGTCTCCGTCTGCAACGGGTCCCCTCCCCCGCGCACGTGACTCTTGGCGAAGAGGTGAGAGTAGTTGGGTCTGGCTGTGGTGGGTTTGGGCTGCAGCTGGAGGGAGTCGAAGTTAGAGCTGAAAGTGTCCGCAGAAGGGCGCTGCACGGAGTTTTGCGTTTGGAAGGAGAATTGCTGGAAGGGGTTAGCGTCAGGAAACTGCTGAAAAATGTAAGATCGTTAGTACAAACATTGATTTATTGATCGATTAATAAAGACTAACAAATCGAGGCCCATTACCCTCATACCTCATTTGGTAATATGAAATAGGTGGATTAGATGCCCCTCTCCAACTTTACATAGCCACGCCTCATTCTGTTTACCCAAACACCGTTCAGGTTAAATCCATTCGAGTCATTACCCTTATACCTTATCTATTGATATTGAAGATGTGGATGGGCCTTCGGGCTAATGAAATAAGAATTCTCTGAGTTCTGTCATACGAATTAATATGCATTCACATCATAAGACATTATATTTCATCTGGAAACCCACATTTAAGCAAGAGCTCCTCACCAGTAGATCTCTTGGCCCATTCATCACACACTGAAATTAATTGAATGCCTACAAAAACCATACTACGCGGTGAAACAATCCTAGAGTATAAAATACACAAAAAAGTTCTTTCGTCTAGAAGTTGTCGCTATTGAAATGACTTCCAGAAAAATCACAGAACGAAGCTCTACATGGCTATATTCTTATTGTCATAAATAATGTTTATTTAATGATCCCGACTCCTTCACAATCCTCAGATGGCATCAAGCGTGTTCGGTTTCAATAACATACTAGATTGCTGTGAAAACAGACTGAGCAGATGAAAAAAACAAATAAGAATAAACTGTCCCCATTCGAAGACCGGGTGGGTGAAATGGTATGAATCACATTGGAGAATCGGGTGAGCCTGCCTTCTAGTGTTCTGTGTTGGCAACCTACCAACCTCCTATAGCCACGCCTCATCCTCCGTCCCCAAAATTCGTTCAAGTTCAAGCTAAATGAGCCGTTACCCTCATAGCTCATCTACTGATATGTAAACTGTGCATGGGCCTCCGAAACCCTTAGATGAATATTCTTTACATTGATGAGTTGCGATTGGCTGATGGTCCTTTGAGTTATCTGTTGGCCCCTCCTTCAATCTCTCATAGCAACGCCTTATCCTTCCCACCCAAAACCCGTTCAGAATCAACTTATATGAGCCGTCACTCTCATAGCCTATCTACTGATATGAAAGAGTACTAACATTGTAGAGTGTTGACTAGTGGTGAACCTGCCTTATTGTTCTTCGACATCTGTGTTGGCTGTACCCTCAACCTCTCATAGCCACGCTATATCCATCTCACCATTCAGGTTCGACCCATATGATATGGAAGAGTACTCACATTGAAGAGTTGCGGTTGGCTGGTGGTAAACCTATCATCTAGCTCTTTGGTTTTGTGTTAGCCTTTTCTCCAACCTCTCATAGCCACGCCTTATCCTCCCCCCCAAAAATGGTTCAGGTTCATAACCTAGTACTTATATGAATTGCACTTCGCTGGTGGTGAACCTGCCTTCTAGTTCATTGACTTCCGTGTTGGCCCCTCCCCCAACCTCTCACAGCCTCACCTTATCCTCCTCAGCCAAAAACCGTTCGGGTTCAACCTCATAACCTATCTACTAACATGAAAGAGTACTCACATTGAAGAATTGCTGTTGACTGCCTTCTACTTCTTTGAGTTCTGTGTCGGCTTCTCCTCCAACCTCTCATAGCCACGCCTTATCCTCCTCACCCAAAAACCGTTCGGGTTCAACGCATATGAGCCGTCTCCCGCACAACCGATCAACTAATCTAATAGAGTACTCACATTGACGAATTGCTGTTGGCTGCCTTCTGGTTCTTTGAGTTCTGTGTCGGCCTCTTCTCCAACCTCTCATAGCGACGCCTTTGGGCTCAACCCATATGAGCCGTCCTCCTCATAACTTTCCACTATTATAAAAGAGTACTCACATTGAAAAATTGCGGTTGACTCCCTTCTGGTTCTTTGAGTTCTGTGTCGGCCCCTTCTCCAACCTCTCATAGCCACGCCTTATACTCCTCACCCTAAAACCGTTCGGGTTCAGCCCATATGAGCCGTCATCCTCATAACATTTCTACTAATATGAAATAGTACCCATATTGAAGAATTGCGGTTGACTCTCTTTCAGTTCTCTGAGTTATTTGTCGGCCCCCCTTCAACCTCTTATAGTCACGCCTTATCCTCCCCACTCAAAAACCGTTCGGGTTCAACCCATATAAACCGTCATCCTCATAACCAATCTACTAATATGAAAGAGTACTCACATTGAAGAGTTGCGGTTGGCTAGTGGTGAACCTGTACTGGGGCAGCGTGTGCTGCAGGTGCACAGGCAGGTCCGATGTCTGCAGATCCCTTGGCTGCAGGTAGGGGCTAGGGGGCTGCTGGGGAAAGCCGGGCTGCGTTCGCCGGAAGGGGATGATCTCCGAAGGGTCGACGTAGCGCTGCTGCTGCTGATAGGGGAGGTACGCGGGGTCGTGGCCTCGGCTGGGGTTCGACTGGCTCGGGAAAAGGTAGTCTTGACCTGGAAATCAACAGTCAAGTATTATAGAAGCTGAAGTTTCTGTACGAAATTCAATTTTTCCATTACACAGTGTTTAAAAAAATCCTACAACCATCTATGAGAACAGCATATTATTATACAGGGTGTTTCATAATTGGATGTCAATATTTTGGGAGGAGATTCTAGGGCCCATTCTGAGAAGAACGTTTCATATGAACGTATGACCTAAACGTCCGAACTTTTGAGATACAGGGTGGTAAAGTTCTCAATTATATCCCAGTATATCACCTCACCTCTTGAGAATTTTGTGGAAACCTTATCGTTTGTGAGGTTTTTACAAATATTTTTCACTTCAACACCGTGTCTCTCGCAAAAGACGCCTTCTACGACTTTTGTTTATGGAAAATTTTCTATTTTCTTGAGACGCCCTATCACCTCTCGAAGTGAGTCCCACATATTACAAACTACTGTGAATATAATTCTTTGATGATTTTTCTTTATTTTTTGGCATTGTCTGAGTGAGAATTGTATTTTCAGTCTAAACACAGTTTTAACTTGTAATACTACTAGAGGTAACAAATTCGCGGAAAGCAATTTGACCTCGTGTGGTATTCCGTGAGAAAATTTCACACCAGATTGTGTTTGGAAATAAAATAATTTTAGAATTCATTTGTTCATTTGAATTGCATACAGGTTCATGAATAAATTTAGTTTGCGTCGGGATACTACAAGTAGTGATAATGAGAAATTATAATTTTTTCAATTAATTTTTCATAGGTATAGTTACATACTAGTAGAAGTAGAGAAAGGGGAGGTGGAACCTCCGTGTATTTCTGATGAAGGTCAGTGTGTCCGTCCACCTTAGTAATTTGATCAGTATCAATAACAGATATTTCCAAAAGTAGCTCACCACCGCAAACCGTTTCTTGCTGTGAGCTCCCTACGTTTTATAAAAAATTATTGAAATCCCCGATTTTTCGGACCTCTGGAAACGTGGCGATGATGTGACGTCACAACCCTAATACTGAAACAAGATTATTCCAGACAGAGATGAATGATACATGATTTCTGACAGAGGGATTTAGCGCGAGATCACAGTTGAAAGAATTATAATATATCAGTTGCCTCAGTCTCCGTCGGGCGTTTGGTATTTTCTTTTAACTATGGCGAGATGAGGTTTCAACGTCATAAGAGGGTCCGTTTTCAGAAGGTACTATTATTTATGTCCAAAAATAAAACATTCTAGTTAATTTTTCGATCCAATTATGTCGTCAATCGTTATTTATGTATAAAAGGAGCATTATAAACATGGTTTGAGTTAAAAGTTCTACTAAGGTGTACACGCCCATTTCAAAAACCATCATTCAAATAATCCATCATTTTGTGTTCAGCCAACGTCAGTGTTAATTTTGATTACCAATTTGATTCGAATTATCACTTGGAAAGTTTCATAGCAATAAACTTTTTCTGCCTTCTGGCAGTAATGGTACATCTTTTCGGCCTGTTAAGTGTCATTGAAGAGACACTTTCAATATTATTTGAAGAAAAAAATATTATTACGCTGGTGGGTACCCACGAGAAAAAAAAATCCACTAAAATACGTACGTTTCTATATGGTAATTTGTCATTAAAACCCAATTTATCTGTATGAAGATCACTGGTGTGGAAATTTCACTTGAAATTTGTCACCAAAACGTTTGACTTTTTCAGATATGCCGAGAATGTATGGTAATATATTTGATATTTGGCAGATATCGATCGATATTTGGTCTGAAACCGAGAAATCGACAAAATATTATGTTAGTAAAAGGATGGAAAAAGGTCCCCCCCTTTACGCCGTCCGGAATTCAATTTACCGCTGTGGCCTCCCTCCGAAATAGGCTCCATCATCCCGAATTTAATAACATTTCCGCAAGTGATGCTATTTGCAGTAAGTTTATTCGGGGATAAAGGGCTTCCTTGTTTTCGGTATTCACCCCGGGTCCTATTCGCAAGTCCATATGGTGGGAATTTATTTGGTCGCAGATGATTTTTTCTTTCATTTTCTCTTAACAAAGAATAATAAGAAGACATTTTATTTTTGTTTTTATTTTCATTTATTTCAGTTATTGCATTTCATTCTTTTCTTCATTGATACATTTTATACAAATAATATATAGAGTATAATTAATTTTCTAGTAGAAATGACAGTAATTCCTGGTATAAGATCATTCATGAAGTATTATCGACTGTTGTATAATTGAAATTACAAATAGTGAACAAAACTTACATATCATTAAAATATCTCAATATAACAGTACTCATATTATAGTGAACAAAAAGAGGAAAAAAAGAAACAGTAAAAAAAAGAAAAAAAGTAATTCATGGTCTTTCAGCTTTGATCATTCCTTGGCATATGAATATATTTCTCTACTTTATTTTTGAATTGTATAATATTTGGGCTGTTTTTGATATCATCTGGTAATTCATTGAATTTCGGATTGTTATGTCCATTTTTCCAGATATTTCGGATGTTCTATCCCCTTCTATAAAATGGAAATATGAGTATTATTATAAAAACGAGGAGAAAATCGAAAAAAATCTGAAAATAAATTGATGTTCCACCTCCTCGATTAACCTATAGACAGTATTCATGGAATTATTATGTTCAAGGCGTAATTTTCTTACACCAAATACAAAATAGTACCAATCTTTCATTCATGATCCCCCTAGGAAATTAATTAATGCCGGAGATTTTTTGAACACATGAATTTTCTTTAAAAATTTTCAATTCACGGCTTTGGTGGAAGATCAGATGCGAATCATTCGCAATCTGAACCAAAAGCCCTTTGCTCACCATATATATTAGGTAAATATATGTGAATATATGTACCACTGTGTACTGAAATATGCGGGAAAATTTTTTCCACACTAGTGCGGGAAAACGAAGATATGATAAAATCGCTAATAATATAAGTGATTGGCGATGGAATATAAAAGTTTAAGTTCATCATCCATCAAATTGCACTATTTATTTTGAAAATTAAGAAATATTGAGAAATAAAAATTGATTATTATAAAAATCCCCCTATAGATCTGGATTGATCTGACGGGAAACGATTATTGTTGTCATGCCAATCAAGCCTCAAATAAGTTTGGAATTGTCGAAGTGACAGACACAGCGTTACTGTCATTTTCGATTCAGTGGAAATGCCACAATGTGATCAAAAACTTCTAGCTATAGGGATTTGATACAGATGCGTTATCACCAACGAAGTCTAAAGATAGGTATGAGAAGCTATACACGCGTTTTATTGAATGGTGCAACAATAAAGAAATGAAATAACCGAATAAAGAATAGGTATTTTTGGCTCATTTAATAGAATTGTCTGGAACCTAGAGACCAAACTCCTAATGGGCCTGCTGGCTTCCGCAATAAACCAACATAATGCGTCGAACTGTATGTTCACAATAGCTATTACTAATAATTAGTAGATAGTGAATATATATCTCTTGTTAGTTGTTCCTATTTGCTTGAATATATAATTGAACGAATCAATCAATTTCCTACGCTTGTAGAAAAAATATTGATCCTAACTCATGCGGAAAGTGTCTTTCCCGCACTCTACTGCTTGCCCGGCAGTCTTGTGTGGGAAAGAATCACTTTCCGCACTTGTTAGGAGAAAAACTATATCCGTACGCTAAATGCCATTTTAGTTATGTGAGTAGAAAAACGTTATTTTCCGTTCGTTAACGTCTACGTGGTGGTTTACGTAGTGTGTCGAATGACGTTCAATACTTTTTTTCTAATCCTGGAAATATCCCGATGCCAAACGATTTAACGTCGATCTAGAATAAAGGTTCATCGCAAGAATCGAATTAGAGCTTTTAGAGTCGTAGTAAAACAAATAGAGCAAAGAGCCAATGCTCCTTCGCATCCGAGAGTAATAAATACAAATGGTAGGAGAGGCGATGAAGCAAAAACTTGTTAATGTCAATCTATAAAATAAATTCCTCCACCGAACGCCTATTTGTAGATACTTTGGGAATAAAGTTTCCGACAATGGCCATACGTTTCCACCAGGAAAGTAATTTCTGCTGGAAGTTTTATGCACTACTGGAACGTTTTTTTTCCAATTCAAGCATTCAGAAAGGAATGAGATACAGTCTATGAGAATAAATCAAGATACAATTGGGAATTTGAGAATGAACGAGCTGATATTAAAATGAGTACATTATATTGAGAACATGAATATGATGCACACTACACTGTTTTACCACTTACCAAACATCTAGCATCTTCAGGATAAGATTAAACCTGAATATCCCATTCTTGGTATGGTATGGACTTATAATCGCTAAATATATGCTTATTATTTGTTCGAATTTCAAGAATCTTAACAGAGAAAAGTTGTTTCTATTCCAATTTAACATATGTGTCCCGAATTGGAACGCTCTATAACAACTTTTAGTTTTTGATATCGTTTCAATTTCTACGAAATGTCTGTGATATTAAAGAAGATTAACACCGACAGAACTATTTGTTTCTAGTAGCTTTATTATGCTACTAACTTTTTAATCACTAATTATCGATAGAAATATGTTTTTTTAGAATATAATAATCCCCGCTTCTAATTTCTGTTATTTTTGCTGCAAAGTTGATGTATCGTCTTTCATTTGGCAAAGTTTTTTCAAACTGTTTTTTTCAGTACTAAAATCATGGACGTTATACGTCCACGACTAAAATGATGCCAGTCATCTTTCAGAATATCATCAAATTACTTTACAAGGACAGTTTTGTCGAGGTTACTATTGGAAGACATCAAGAAATAAGAATTAATAGGTGCATTAAAACGTTCAAATTCTAAACAAATGTGTGAAATTGAAATAGAGACAACATTTCTCAGTAAACTTTTTCGAAATTCGAACAAATAAGCCTATTTATAGCGATTTATTTGATGAAATGTAACTTTTGACATGTAGCGAAAGTCACGTGACTCCGAGTAGAGTAGGTCATTTATTATATTTCCTGAATCAGAACTCAACGCCCAAGTCGAATTTCCGAATGAATTATCATTGCATGTTTTTCCCATATTATGATGCCAACTTTATGAATTACACTGTATATGCCGTTGCCGTTAGAAGATTTGATTTCTCCTTGAGTTAACAGAGAGATTTTAGCAACCGGCCATAAGTAGGTATGTTAGTTTCCTTTCTAAAAACATCAAAAATTCAGAGTTGTCTTCGCCATTTCAGATTCCAAGAACATCTAAAGAATGATAATTGAACGTTATTTCCGCATGCGAAAGTGAACATGAGTCTTCAATTGATCAAATTCCAAATGAACTGATCTCGGCTATCAATCTGCAGATTCAACTATAATAGACAGTTTTTCGTCCTTGGTACATGAATTACTATTTCGTTCGTGAAAAAATCGTGTAAGTAACTTTTTTTGTCGAGCAACAATTTATCACTTTGCGCTTTGAAAACACACAAAACTATTGTGTTGTGAAATAACACAACTGTTCCATTGTTATAAAACGTATATGTTCGAAGGAATACTTCCAATGAATATCCTGGACACAATATTACCATCACGTAACCCTCCATGAAACACTTCAATTAAACTCGTCCCAATCAGTTTCCAAAAGGATTCGACAAAAAATATTCAGTTTAGTCGGATTGGGAAAAACCACGAGCACATATTTTCATCCTAGTCTTCTTTTCTACCAAAGTCTGGGGAAAGCTGACAATCCTTTCTGATGGAAAAATTAAATTCAACTCTACGAGTTGGAATTTTCAAAGAGCCCATCGCCGATCCAATTTCAGACGCACGAATTAGGTATACCTTTTTGCGTCGACAGTAGCAGAGCATGTTCGAATAATTAAATTTACACCCGTGAGCTGGTATACAGTGTGTATCATTCAGATATGTAACAAAGTATAAATCGAGAGAACACTGCAAGCCTCTATTTATTAGCCATAAAATATTTACTGTCACCTGTCTATACATAATGGGAACAGTATGCTTAATTCATAAAAATAAAACTAGCATGTACAGGGTGCGTCTCTTAAATGGAACCCCTTCTTAACTCTTTTGTTTTCAGAGATGTGTGAAAATGTTTTCGAAACGACCCAAACTCTTATTACAAGAAGTTGCTTTATATACAAGGTCATTGGTTTTTCCGGAAAGAACATTAACTTTGATTATTTCAAGGGAACACCCTATATATTTTCTGACATGTCGATAGAACTCTTCCTTCTGATTTCGGAAATATTCATAAATTGCATATTTGAATGGAAAAGAATTCAGTTATTGCTGATCAATGTTTACCAAAATACTGCATCTCCTATTCAAACTGTCCATTCATATTTTTTTGTTTCGAGATTGAACGATTCAAATTTCATAATAAACAATATCATGACATTTCCATAGAGCCCAAACAATATATAAACATTATTCCAAAGCCCTCTATGTTCCACTTACATCATTATAAATCGGTATTTCGGTAAACTCTGATCCAATAACTCAACTATTATTCATCCAAATATACAACTCATAATTAAGTATTTTTGAGATCAGAAAAAAAGGCTCTGTCGACATGTCGGAAAATATATAGGGTGTTCTATGAAAACAATCAAAGTTCATGTCCTTTCTGGAAAAACTAATGACCCTGAATTTTGAGTAATTTCATGAAATGTAAGTTTGGGTCGTTTCAAAAAACTTCTTCATTCAAAATCTCTTTATATCTCTGAGAAACAAAAGTGTCAAGGGAGGCGCACCCTGTACACTCCTAAAACATATGCTTTATTCACCTATTCCTAAATTCGCTTCTACAAAACATTCTCTGGTATATGAAAGTATCAAAGTATAAAATCATCTTTCTATTATTCTATTATTCTGAAGTTCAGTTGAAGATCTTCTGATCAAAAAAGCCTATCATTCGATCTTTGAATTCTATTATGGTAACCTGCAAATTATCACTTGATTTTCAAATGTTTTCATGAACGCATGAACCTGCAAATTATCACTTGATTTTCAAATGTTTTCATGAACGCATCTTCAAATGTGTTCATTAATGTTTAGTTTGTAA